GATAGATAGATAGATAGATAGATAGATAGATAGATAGATAGATAGATAGATAGATAGATTAGATTACCTTTGTCATTAGAGCCCTGCTGACTGAACCTGATGGGAGCTGGAGTACCGCAGGATCAGGAGAACAATAGGTTTCCCCCATTTGTTTCAACAGAAGGTTGTAAAGCAGCATAGGGTACGCCAAAGGTTGTTGGACTACAACTCCCATCAAACCTAACCAGGATAGCCAAGGAAAAGAGGGAGCATGGGACTTGAAGGCAAACAATGGGACCATCTATGAAGGTTGCCCCACAAGAACAGGAGAACAAGTGTTCTGTGTCTTTAAGAGAGAATTTCAACAGGTGTAGGACAAGCTCCAACTTCTGAAATTCTCTTTTCCACACAACTAAGAAAATGCAAGAGGGGTGTTCTTTCTTTTATAGGTGGCCACCTGGTAAGGCATTATGCAATCTACCTGGGTCTTGAACACAGTTGTAGGTGAAGCTAAAAGAAAACGTTTGCTTTGTACATAACGGTAAACCAGGTTACATTTTGCTGAGTCCTAATGACTGTGTCCAAACCTATCCTTACAAACTTGGTTGGCTAGTTTCAAGCTACAGTTAGAAGCTGTTTTCTTGTGTTAAGATCCTCAGGAGAGACCTTTCTCTCAATCCCACCACCCTTACAGGTGCCCTTGGTGGGGACCCGGGAAATGGCCTTCCCAGAGACTCTGGAACTCCCTGCCACTGGAGACCAGGCTGGCCCCATCTTTGCTGTCCTTCCACTAGCAGGCAGAAACCTTTGTCTTCACACAACCTTCCCCTTAAGGACTGGCTGCTGAGTGGGGTTCTTAAGTGGGTGGTTGTGCCTTACTGCCTCGGATGTGTTTTTGGTGTTGATTCTGTTTACCATTCTTAATATAATATTTGTTTGATTCCTTTAAAATATTTGTATACTTACTGTTTTAGCTTTTAAGTACTGTATTGTCTTTTTAATGACATCATTCCCCCTTGTGTATTTTTTTTAAAGAGAAAGTGGGGTAAAATATTTTAAATAATTAACAATCGTAAAACACCAACTCCGGTCTGTTGAAGTCCTGGTTTGTTGAAATGCTCGAACCCAGAGCGACGGCTTTTCGATTATTTCTCTCCACTTTCCTTCCTGAAATAAGGGCTGTTAAAAAAGGGGTTGAGAGAAGAAGAATAGACCCCAAATATGGAAAAGAAATGGGGGTTTGTTTGGTTCTCTGTGAGATAAGGTGGAAAACCGTGTTTGTGTTATTTTTTGGGGGGGGACTACAAGTTCCAGAATCCCACAGGCTTTGTGGGAGTTGTAGTCCAAAACCCCCAAACAATTGCAAACCTCCAAGTAGGATAAAGCACATGCATCTGGCCATTCCAGGAACTTCTGAAGAAAATAAGGGCCCGGCGAGGATGAATTCTCTGTCGTTACCGCCGGAGATACGGTAAGATGGCTGACGCTGGATGGACAGAAACTACCCTTACCTGCTTCGGCAAATTTCTTTCTCTGTCGATTAGAAATGAATTTTCTGTAGGCGTGAGGAAGGTGGAAGCATTTGCCCGAAGATGGGGCTGGTTTTGCTCCCCTCCTCAGGTGAGGTGGGTCTGCTGAAGGCCCCCAGCAGCAGGTGCTTCATTAGGAGAAGGGCTAAAGGCGGGAAAATGGACCTTGTGGCCCCGGACAATGAGGAGGGGGCTGCTCGGGGTCTCCTCATGTGGGGTCTTCCCTATGTGGGCTTTATCACTGGCCAGCACACTGTTCAACTACAATTTCTATGATTCTTCCAAGGGTGGAACATGGGGCAGCTGGTCACGTGTCCTACGTCTCAGGGCGGCAGCTGGAGTCTTGGGTGGGGGGAAATCCCTGAGCTTCACCAGGTCTCCAGACATGGAGACAAATCTCAAGGCGAGCAGGGCTGCAGAAGGAAGTCTGTTTTTTGTTTGTCAAGCAAATTCGAAACTTGGCTGTCCTTTTCTTCCTCCCACCTGGCACTAAGGCTTCGTATTATAATCGGCATGTATAGTATACTTAAAAATGTGACTGGCAAGCAGAAGGATTTTAGCAAAACACTTCGGCTTCTGCCTTCCTCAGCTTTATTTATTTTATTTATTTATAAAACTTATAGACCACCTGACTTAGTGAAATCATTACTCGTGGGTGTGGATGTGTTACTTTACAGTAAAAAAAAAAAACCACATGCTACAGAAATTTTAAAAAATAATAATAAATTAAAGGAAATGCACTCGGTAACCAAATCAATGGATATTAACCAACATAAAAAGGCAGTCCACAGCTGACCCCTGCCATTTAGAACTTGAGCCGGATTGGAAAGGCATAACAGAATAAACAAAATATGCAATATATACCAGATGATAACAAATTTTAAAAAGCCATCAAATCCTAACCACACATGAAAAATTAACGTTGAGTGTTGTCATAAGCCTTGTTAAATTCCATCTTTAGTAATCTGAAAGACTGTAGGGAGACGGTCTGTCTAAATTCTAGAGGAAGTTTATGTCCTTGTACATTTCACTTGCACACATACAGGCAGAGAAACACACATGTATATATTCATCTTTAATTCTGTATTACACACACACACACACACACACACACACACACACACATTGTATATGCAAACACACATATTGTATATGTGTGTTTGCATATACAATACAGAATGAAAGATAAATTGTATCCCTCATGCTAAGAAAGTGGGCTTTGTTCCATGAAAACTCACACAGAAACAAGCTTGTTCATCCTTTAAGATACCACATTTTGTCCTGCGCTTTCTTCTTCTCTCTTTAATGCTATCAGTTGCTGAAACAGACGAAGAGGAGCAGCTTCTTTGCAAAGCACATCGGCAGGACATCTTTGGCCCACGAACGAAACATACTGTCCTTAGTCGTTCATCCATTTTATTGACGAAACCTTTCAAAATACACCTTCAAAATACAAATAAAGAAATGATCAAGGGTAGAACCCTGATCCTTTAAAGAGCCCAAGACTATATAAGACAGTATCATACCAATAACTCATTCCATAAACTAATTGGGATGTTAGTATGCTACACTATATGCAAATATTCTCTTCTTGTGATTCAGTTTTAGAGTCTCTTTCAACTGTGTTACTAATTTCCTTGTGGCAAGCAAAGTTCTAATTTAGCTCCTTACACATACTGTATTTCCTGTAGCACAGAGCTAAGAATTGGACCTGTCTCTCTTAGCTGCTATGGCCACAACACTTCATTTCATAATCAGATTTTATATTTTTGCAGATCTGATATTTATTAAAAGGTCTTGCGCTCATGTTCGGCCTGTGTGCTCCCCATTGGCCACTCGCTCATCCCCGTATGAACAGGACGTTGGGTCAGCTTGGGGGCATAACAAGAGGCAGTGCCTGCGGGGGTCAAAACCCTGGGAATTCCTGTTTGACAGGGACCGTCCCATCATCGTCTGTCCACCCCGGCCAGGCTTCTGGGCTCCCTCTGATCTCAGCTGCACCCTCCACAGTAGCTAAGGGACGGGAATATTTCCAGGATCAGTATGTTGTCGCTAACTGTTTGGTGTAATGCAGTCTTTGGGGGTGGTTTGGTCTTACATGGGCAATTAGGAGCCATTAGCTTTATAGATGACCTGCTTCTGATATAAACAAAAACTAGTAGAAGTTGAATGTATCAGTAGGTATGGATCAGTCCAATGGTCTGCATTTTCGGACTCCTTGTGGAACAGAAGCCTGTCATCATGAGCACTTAAATTTACCACTTGATTCGCTAGACCTACAAGGCGATCAAACATACATCATCTTCTGTTTTCAAGTTCTTATTCCACCTTGCAGGCCATTTAGAGATCTGGGCCCTGCCCTTCCATCTTAGTCTTCTCCACCTGACAGGGCTGTTGTGTGAATTAAGTTTTCATGCTTGTGATGGGACACGGAGCTTAGCTTAGTTTCATAGATTGCTTTGAGCTCCTGGAATGGAAGATGGCATGGCAACATAATGGTTTCCTAAATACACACTTTGTTTGCAGTTTATTTTTCAGTGGCTTTGTTTGCTCCTCTTTTCCAGATGGTCTTGTTTACTCATCTTTTTTCCACTTCCTTCCTTTACCCCAGAACTAAGAAAGGGGAACCTCTCTTCCTTTTTTTACACGACTCAGCCTTCCCCAAAGACTACAACTCCCATAATCCTCAACCAGCAAGGCCACAGAATAAAACACTGCCCCATCGTCCTACATGCCTGTGGTCCGTGTCTTCTTGACTTGCGATCTATCCATAAAATACAGTGTTCCGTGGTGAGATGATGATGAAATTATTTTGTTTTGCAAACTCCCCCCTGAACCTGTTTCCTGCAGGGCAACGTACAGGTTAAAATCCCGAGCACTCAGTCCTGGAAAAGTTAATTTGTAACTGCGGTCTTGCTGAAAACGAAGGTATGTATACAACCTTTACCTTGTATTTTGCTGGTCATATTTATAGTGAGCCTGGTTTTCAGGTTTTACAGTGGGACAAGAGTTCGTGGTAAAGACTTGGGGGGGAAAAAAAAGAACAAAGCTTGCCAGCAATGTTGTCATGTTGTGATTAACTGCCTCCTCACCTTTTCTCTTTCCCCACCATTGCGTTTAATCTGAAGAGATGCCGGAGTGTCACAGTCAGATATTTTACAGTGCCATGGCATGAATTTTGAATGCTATAAATCCAGCTGCTGTGCTTATAAGAGATGCCTCTTTGTATTTGTATAAATATTTATTTATTTGATTTCTATACCGCTCTATTAGTGCAAGGCACGATGCTGGGCAGTTTACAACCATGGATAAAAACAAGCAGTTAACTAGATGGTGAATACACAAGAATTAAAATATCAATAGAATAAGAACAAGGGACACCCAAGGACAATTCTCTGAATGACAGCAGATATGTATAGTCAGTGTGGAAAGCTTGTGTGATTGGTGGGGACACAGGAGAGAGGTCTTTCTCTGTGGCTGCTCCCAGACTTTGGAACTCCCTGCCACTGGAGGCCTGGCTGATACCATCTTTGCTGTCTTTCCACAGGCAAGCGAAGACCTCTCTCTTCAGGCAAGCCTTTGCTGAGTGACTGGCTGTCTGAGAGGGTTTTTTTTTTAATTGATTGTTGTCCTTTACTGCTTTTAATGATTTTTCGGTCTGGATTTTGTTTACCATTTTTAATATAATATTTGTTTGATTCCTTTAAAATCTTTGTATATTTACTGTTTTTAGTTTTTAAATATTGTCTTTTAACCATATGAGCTGCCTTGGGTCATTTTTTTAAGATGAAAGGTGGAATAAGACAATTTTAAATAAATTCATTATGAACTCCAGTTTGTTTAAACCAAAGCATTTTCAGCTGACCGTCAGGTCTTTTTCCAGAAGATCTGGTTCCCACCAGAGAATGCCGAACCAAAAAAGCTGATTTGTTAAGATTTTAGTCAGAGGACTGTAAAGCCGAAGCAATTTAGATGGATATCTTGAATCTTGAATCTTTTATTGTTGTTTCAACCATTTTGGCCATTCAAGTTCCACCAATTTAAAACAGAAGTACAAATAGTAATATCACTTGGTGATCATAAAGGCCAGGATCCTGTTGGATTCCACCGTGCGCAGACAGACAACCATGCATGTGGTTTTTGCTGATTTTTGTGGTTGTCTGGTGTGTGCTACACAACTGTGGCAAAATAAAGCAACAACTATTAAAACCCTTCAGGTCATGAATAAATATTAAATTAATTAGGACCTAACTCATTCGCCATGTTACTAATAGTTTTTGACTTAAATGTTACTACATCTGCCTAACGTATTAAAAATAATTGATTAGATACAGGCTGAATTTCAATTATGTGTACTGGTTAAATTCCAGTGAACGAAGCAGGATTTACCCAAAGTAACCATGTGTCAGATACGGCTAGAAGGACTTCATTTAAGTCGAGCATGAGGACGAAGGGGTTAAGTCAGTCTTCCTCTGAGATGTGGCTTTGTTTTCTCATTACACATACTGTATTCCCCTTAGGGGGTTTGTAACAGAAATTGCCACTGGTTCTTCACTCCGAGAAGTTTCTGCCAGGCTGAACCAGTTGTTTTGCTTTAATAAATCCAGTAGCTAGAAATATTCAAGGGGTTGGACAGGTGGAAGGGGTGTGAATCCATACAAATAGATCTGTCTCAACTATATAAAGAGGCATTTCCCACACTGCTGGAGGCAGACCAAGTTTTAAGCCCTTGACTGTGACTTTCAGTGTCTTTGAATGAGAACTAGCTCTCAGTTTTCCGGGCGTCTTTGGATAATCTTTGGATAACAGCTAAGAAGATTTTGCTTCCCTTTGGATCTCTGATGATCAAGAGTCTGTAATCAAAATTGGTCGCATGTGAGTTGTGCTTCCCATCAGATGCCCAGCCCTTTGTTAATTAGCAATTAGGAGGTGCAGTTTCCACAATTCCTCTTACATTTGACTCAGGGCTTGGCTAGACAGCTAAATTTGAGTGGGCTTAAAAAAAGGGGTCACTTAAGGTGACCTAGAGGTGCAGTATGTCATTTGGTGTGACCTTATCTAGTCCACCTCCCCTTAAAGGCAAAGAAAGAGAGAGAGAGAGAGAGACAGACAGACAGACATCTCCCTTCTTGCCCCTTCTTGCCCCCTCCTCTTTCTGAAAGGAAGTTTTCTTCTTTTATTTTTCCCTTGAAAGATATAGCATAGAGGCACTATTCTAACTAAGCTTTAAAAAAGTGCCCCTTCCTCCCTCCCCCAGTTATGGAGGTACAGAGCATGTTTTAAATTTCCCAATATTGTTAAGTGGCTTAGTTGTCTCCTTAAGCCACTTAATGTTATTGGGAAACTGAGAGTGGATGGGAAACTGAAAGCAGCAATTCATCGACTTTGGTTCAGTCCCAGCGATTGCGTATGCTGGAACTGAACAAAAATGGAGCAATTTTACTAACATTTAAAAAAGAATAGGCCCTGACAGGGAGTCAGAAAGATCCAGGTTGAAACACTCCTGGGATGGGATGGTTTGTCCTGATACTTAAGTTTTATGGCCACTGGGAAAAGGAGCAAGCCAGACATCCCCAGAGTAGTCCAAACAATGTGATAAATCCCACACTGTTTAAATACCTGATAGGAGTTTGGCCAGAGAGCCTCTGGGCCGCCCCAGGTGAAATCCAATGGTACCCTGTCATCTTTGTATGCATCATTCTTCCTACAGTACTTCCTGAAACAAGATACAGACATCAAGGGCTTTGGATCCATCATTGCCCTCTCACTTTCCTTGTGCCACTTTTTTTGCAACCTGCCCTGTTAAGAATTTGTATTTTCAACCATCTGCACAGGGTTGTGGTTTTGTTTGTTTGTGTGTGGTTTTGTGTTTGTATGTTTGTGTGTGTGCATGCGTGCATGCGTGTGTGCTTTTGCACACTCTTTGGGCCTCTTGAAGATATCAGCCGAAGTTCGGATTTTGCAATTTGCATTTTGAATTTTGTAAAACAGGCTGGATATAATTTTTGGAAATATGAACAGTTTCATTTAAAAATGGTGAGAGTTTGAAAGGGATTTGGAAGAAAAGGAGGCGCTTCCTTTCCTTTTTCTCAGGAGTAATTTAAATTAGATACTTGTTGCTACTTAAAAACCGCATCTGGATGCCAGAAGCCGCCTTGGCCTGTGCTACCAAACACACTTCCCTCTCGTCCACCTTGTCGGTTTCTCTTCCACAACCGGAAAAGACTATTGGGCTGCAGCATGAGTTAGCGTTTGAACTCTCTGTCTTCTCCATAACTATTCCTTAGTTAGAGAATTCTGTTCCCTCCAGAAAAGGCCCCAAACTCCAGCTATGCCTTCTCCACAATTTGATAAGATCACATCCCATACGTATAAAACTAGCTTGACTATCACAGGTGCAACACATGTTTGCACATAGCTTCTGTCTATGCCAGATGGGAGGGCACTTTGCTTGAGTGCCTGGAGACGCAAGATTGGGCACGTCAGTAGCCCCCCGGCTTCTCTCTTTCTGTGCATTCACAGCCTCACAAATCTTGCAGGGATAGAGCGATGGTCTGCGCACGACGACACTGGGAGCGGTATGCATTTTTAAAAGGCTGGACGTGCTTGATAGCTACCGGAATCGCAGTGTCAATATTGATCCCAACAAGTGTAGTGTACGACAGGTGTGGACCGTGCTCTGTATCTCCTCCTCCTCTCCTGCCAGAATCATGTGGATGTGAACACATGTCCTTGCCAAACCCTTCCAAGTCCTTTTGGCTGCCAACACCGCCACACCCTCTACTTTCTACACATAGCTTTGCTTTGGGAAGGCGCACCCTTGTTTGTCAAAGAATAACAACTTAACCAGGGCATTTCACCGTTGGGTTTCTCAGTCCACGTCAAGCCCAAGACATTTTGTCACTGAGGTCCAACATATCAAGGTGGGACCCCCTCCTCTTAGTAACAAACTTGGAAGCTGCTCAGCAGAAGGAGAACTAGAGTCTGGGAAAGGGGCTTCTCCCGTCTCAGTGGAACTTGCCAGTGGAACACAACTAAGAGCCCAACCTTGTTTATGGGCCATCGCCTTTGTAGGCTGCTTAGAAGCAAGAAAGCAGGAAAAAGCTTGTGTGTGATGGCAGCTCCCAACCCTGGAATTTTCCCCTGGAGATTTAAGGAAGTCCAAAACCCGGAGCCTTCATTTCTAGTCCTGGAAACTCTCGAAACATTTAAGAGTTGTGGGTTCTCTTGAAAACCAAGACGTTCTGTTTGGCATGAGCTTCTGTGGGCTGTAGCCAACCTCTTCCTAGGTATCTTAGTTGCTCTTTGTCCTAGCTTACTCGAAAACAAGATGCATGATGGTGAAGGTCTAATTACATTTCTCCACCACTAAAAACAAAACTCATTTCATGTAAAAAAAAAATTTCCAAGCTCAGAGGAGGTGGGGTGGAGATGAGATATAAAAAATAACCTAGTATCTTATGGCTTGCCACAATCAGAGTAGATCTGTTCACTCCATTGGGTTTACCTAAGTGTTGATGGTCATAACTAGAAAATTTGTTACCTGGACAAAAGGCACTATCTCTTATTCACTTACCCTGAGATGTGGGCATAAGATTACATCATGTTAAAGGAGCAGAATGCGGTGCCTCCATCTTTCCAAAGAAAGACAGAGTTTTGGCTATCAAAAAAGAGAGAAGAGGAGTGGGGTTAGGGGCATTGCTGTTAATCCCTCTAACACTTATGAGTTGATTCACTGCTACATCTTGGCACTGTCTAAATTTCTGGGCCCTGCGGCAAGCCCCCCGTGGTCCTGCCTTAGGTACATCCCTGTATATTGATTTATTGATTCAACAGGTCTGCTGTCTAATTGGCACTAGCTTTGGGGTACCGGTGGCCAGCGTAATTAAGATCAGAGCCAAAAAATTGCTTTATAGAGTTCTGAGCTATGGTATTTAGGGGGTGGCTTTGTCAACACCCTCCCCAGTGAATTTGCTTGGCTGAGCCGGGATTTGAGCCCAGCTCTCCTCTAAGTGGTTCGAAAGCATGTAAAAATGCAAGTAGATCAATAGGGACCACCTTGGTGACCCAGCTCTCATCTAAGTCTTCACCCAAAGCTTATCTCTCAAAAAGATATCTCGACAATTTGCTCCTATATTCTGTTCAACAGCTTTTTGCTTATCTAAACAAAAATTGTCAAGGGGAACCTTTACCTTTACCTTTACCTCCTCTAAGTCTCTCAAAAAGACATCTCGACAATTTGCTCCTATGTTCTGTTCAACAGCTTTTTGCTTATCTAAAACGACAAGCCACTTTTGGTGTTCAGTTTCAGGCAACCAGCCAGCGCAGTGAAATGCTCCGACCACTAGGCGCCAAGTCCCAATCGGTGGGGCATTTCGCCCAAGAAAAACAATGAGGCGGCAGATAAGACTGAAGCCGGAGCCAGAGAAGCAGCGGTTGTAGCAAGAATTGGGAATTTGTGTTACTGAACTACAACTCCCATCATGCCTAACCACTGATTACCCCTAACAGGACTGATGGGAGTTGAGGTTCATCGACATCTGGAGAGATGCCACTCCCTATACCCCCTGCCTGTAGGAGGCAGAAGCAACTCTACCTCTCAGGAGGGTGAGATGGTTAGCAAGGGCCACCAGCACAGAATGTCACATAGAGGCATGGAAATTACTGTGTATCTCATGCTTAATTGTTATTGTCCCTTTACTTCCATGGAGGTAGTGGGCCTCTAAGTGGGATTTTGTACCCTTGGAAACCAAATGACTGGGATATTTTTCAATCCCAGGCAACAAAACGGCCTCTGATGATGATAGTGGGGCGCCTTTCTCCTGAAACCTCTGAGTGATGGAAAATGCAGAGAAATTCAAATTAAGACAGTAATGTGGCACAAAAGGCTTTCAGAAGGCTTTGGTGTTTTTAAAATTGTGTCATGGCCTGAGACAATTGTACTGAGGTTTTAATGTTCTGTTAAGCCAAGCAGTATGTTTTAAAAGACATATCTGGTAAGCAGGGGGTTCCTCGTGGGCAGAAAAGTGATTAATATTATTTACTTTAATTAACATAACTAATTAATTAGTTATATCTATACATACACACACAAAGACATCCACACACATTAAATACATTTTAAAAATGTATTTTGAACATTTTTTGCCTTAGATTTGTAAGATGGATCTTAACCTGCCTTTAGGCCTATTTCTTAAGACAAGGGCGGGCAGAAAATCAAGGGATGAGTTTGAAAACATGTAAAGGAACTCACTCACCTGCCTTGGGGAGGACATTTCACCTTATCTAAGGACAGGTTTGCTGTCTTTTCCACCGTCTCAGCTTTGTGAAGTACAGACCCGTTTTCCCGGCACTGTGGCAGTGGAATTATTCCGTCAAAGGGAGGAGCGTTCTTCATTCCACCTTCATTTTTTAACCTTGCAAACTATCTGCTGGGTCTTCCTGTTTGGGTTCACCTTCCTCAAAATGGGCTAGAAAGGAGCTATATGGAGAAGCAAAACAGTTGGCCATTTTACTCAAGGTTTTGTGGCACCCTAAAACTTTAAGAAGGGAGATGTGGTGGCACTGAGGGTTAAACTGCAGAAGCCTCTGTGCTGCAAGGTCAGAAGACCAGCCGTCACAAGATCGAATCCACACGACGGAGTGAGCGCCCGTCGCTTTTCCCAGCTCCTGCCAACCTAGCCGTTTGAAAGCACGTAAAAATGCAAGTAGATAAATAGGGACCACCTCGGTGGGAAGGTAACGGCATTCCGTGTCTAGTCGCACTGGCCATGTGACCATGGAAGATTGTCTTCGGACAAACGCTGGCTTTACCGCTTGGAGACGGGGATGAGGACTGTGCCCTAGAGTCGGACACGACTGGACTCAATGTCAAGGGGAGCCTTTACCTTTAAAACCTTAAGAGGTTCTGTTTGGCATAGCTGTGGTTCCCCCGTAGACCCATCTGTTGCCTGCACCCTATCCAGCTGTGCCCACTTTTAGGTGCTCGCTTTGGGAGATGCCTGGTATGGTCAGACTAAGAGATCTTGCTTCCTGAGGGAAAGGCCAAGATGGCATCTAATCACCATCCCACATGCAGAAGCTATGCAGGTGATACAGTAGTTGAACCTTATATCAGCATTGCCTCAGGTGGTGGACCCAGTTGTGTGACCTTTGTAGCTCTGGGGAAGGGCTGTTAAATGGATTCTGAAGTGGGAGCAGGCAGACCCATCGATGCGGTGGCAACGCAGGGTCAGAGTTTGGAAGTGGGCCCTCGTTGGTGTGCATCAAAGATGACATTTGATGGGGGTTCCCGGGTATACGTCTTTAACAGCCCTCCCTCCACTGCATGCATCAGATATGGGAATATTTTGAAGAAGTCAGTGTTTGTGGACCACCAATAAATCATGGTTTCTGACTGTGGCTTCAGGCTGGCCAACAAACCATCATTCATTCGGTCATAGCACCATGCCAAGAATTCAGACCGCGGCAACCTGCTAGCTGTTCTCCGTGCAGAGGTTGGTTTCTTAGTTGTCACAGCAGCTGCAGGCTGCTAAAGAGAGCATTTTGGGTATTTTTTTGGGGGGGTGATGATAGAGAGGTTTTATCGGTCGTTCTTAACCTGTTTAATGCGATCAGGGGGAAATGGGGTGGGGGGGGGAACCAGCTCCAGCCTTCCTTGCCTTTGATTTTGACAAAGCCTGTTTGTTTTACTTAAGGCTCCTTTACTGCACCCTCGTTGCCATGGGGACGGCAGAAGGGCAGCTGCGCCTTTTCGAACACCACCTGGGTGACTCAGGAGGAGAAAGGGAAGAGCCCGGAGCCCAGCCTCATGGACGTTGAAGCAGGTAAAAGTGCAAGCCCAGGTGACCCGACGCTGCTCGACAATCCACGTCTCTTTCATCCACAGCTTGGGAAAGTGACTCCCTCGGACGACATCTCCACCCACACCTCTTAGCCTGGATGGCCACTGACCTTACCGGCTGGGCGATTCTGGGAGTCAGAGATCCAGGAAGTATTTCTAAGCCATGCCCAGATATTGTGGGATGCCCACAAACGGCTGGATCGCTCGGTGGTTTAGGTCTCCGGCTGCCAAGCCAGAGGTTGGGAGTTCGATTTATGCCTTTATGCCTCCTTGACAGGAGTTGGACTCAATGATTCCTTAGGGTCCCTTCCTGCTCTGCAGTTCTTCCTCTACGACTACCTCCTGCCAGCTCTGGCCAGAATAACCAACAGAGGGATGATGAGGGTGGGAGCTTATCATTCAAAGAAGTGGTTCCCAACCTTAGGAAAACCAAGTTTTCTTGGACTGCCTCTTCCAGAAGCCTTCCCCACTCGCTCTGCTGGCTGGAGTTTCTGGGAGTAGCAGTCCAAGAACACCCAGGTGACCCAAGGTTGGGAAATCCCTGATTTGAACCCACACCGTGTCTCAGCTTTGAGCTAAACCTTGGCCTGGGTTTAGAAGCAGAGGGCCCTTCTTAGAATCGTAGGCTTTTGTCCATGAGATGTGAGATGTCTTCCCCCAAAGAATTCTGGAAACTCTAATTTTGCACAAGTTTGAGGGTTTTTGTTTTGTTTTGTTTTGTTTTGAAAAAAGCCCAGACACCTTTGCTTCACAATGGTCTGTGAGAAGGAGAAAGCCATTCCCGGGCAGTGATTCATTCTGCCTGAATGTGCCACACCTGTTTCAAGGCACACAGTCACATCGGGCGTGCTGTTGGCATCACCTAACCCCCCGTCTTGGGCTAAAATAATAAAATCATTTTAATAAAAAGGAAAGGGACAGGGATCTAGCTTCCCCCCCCTTTTTTTAAAGGATTCTACGGAAGACGGTTGAGGGCCTCCAAGATACAGCTTTACAACCTGTTCTGTCGGGCAGAACCCTACCCAGAGAATGACCCTAGAGGCTAGCTCATAGAGAATAACTGCCAAAGAACACTGGATGATGATGATGATTGTCAGACCTCGGCCAACATCCTCATTAACTTCAGAACAGCAAAGTATTTTGTAATTGCTGAGATCCATAGAACACCTCCCTTCAAAAAAAGAAAGAAAGAAAGAAGAAAGGTTTGCCCAGCCTATTGGGATGAATGCTGAAGTATTTAGAAGATGATTCATACAATTTCTTTTTCTTAAGGTGCAAGGTACTTCCTCTGTTTAACAACCTGTCAAGTCTTCAGAGTGCCAGCATATGCCCCCTCAGTCTTCTTCTTCCCCCAATTAGCCCCCCCAAAAAACCACACAAAAAAACAAAAACAAAACACAACAACAACAACAACAAAAAACACGGGAGGCTAGGTAATGATACCTCAGGGTGGGCACCCTCCAGAGGGTGTGGACCTACTCTGCCACCTCCTGCTCCCCCAAATTTTATCTGCAATCAAGTTTTCCCTGGAAAAAAAAATCTCTTTGTGCCCTCTTGTGGCTGCGGGGAGCAATTTTGCCTTTCCCTTGGTGCTCCTGAGCTGTTCTAAATCTCAGTTCTGCAAAAGGCTTAGAACGGTTGAAGGTAGACATGGACTAGGATGGTGTTGCTCCCTGTCTCCCCCTAGAGGGACCAAGGGGAATTTAGAGGAGGGTTTACTCTTTTTTTAAGGGGTGGGGGGGTAAGCCCCTAGGAGGAATGCTCAGGGGCCATTCTTGAGTCTCAGGAGGGGTCAAATGCTCTAGCACCCATCCGTTTACTTTTCTGGCATTCCAGGTTATCTGAAGAGCTCTCTTGCCCAGTCCCATTTCAAACGAGTCATTTCTTTTCCTGTCAGCTTTCTTGACCGTCCAGCTTTCCTGACGTCTTCCTCAAATAGGACAACGTTCGAGTGTCGAGTTAGCAATAAGAATCAGTGTGGTGTAGGGATTGGCGAGTTGGTTTACAGCTTGGGAAAAACCAGATTCTTGTCTCCAGTAAACCATGAAACTCATCACATGATCACCTAGATCCTCTCTCTCTCTCTCTCTCTCTCTCTCTTAATTCTGTTGCAGGGTCGTTGTGAAGATTCAGAAGAAGGACTAGAGCAGTGGTGTCCAACCTTGGGCCTCCAGATGTTCTTAGACTACAACTCCCAGAAGCCTTCCCCACCACCTCTGCTGGCCAGGATTTCTGGGAGGTGAAGTCCAAGAACATCTGGAGGGCCAAGTTTGGACATCACTGGACTAGCGCCATGTTGACCACCTTGAGCTTTGTAGAGGAGGAAAGGGGGGGAAAATATACATTTAATTCCTGAATAAATGCCAAAATATGCAACTCTACTTTTCTACGTTATATGAACCAATCATGTTGCACGTTCCTTTTCTTTTCACCCTCTATGTCAGCGAGCGGGCTCTTCTGAAAGGTGTTCCTTTCGTCCTGGGTTTCGCACCTGCGTCGGCTCCACACCGTGTTCCCCACTCCTTTTAAAACACCAGACAGAGCCTCCAACACGAGGAGCCCGGAAAAGCAAATTCAGATCCAGCCTCAGCCTCTGTAACCAGCCTTGAATCAAAGGCTTGGGCGTAAGCCTCTCGGGGGCTCTAATAATATACACAAGGCTCTCCGATGGTTGCGGCTCAGCTGTTGTTTCCCTGCTCTGAAATTAATGGCTCTTTCGTTTCCTCCAGAAAGGCTGAGGCCAGACTTCTCCGAACAGGGGAGGATAATTCACCACCCAAGAAGGGGGGCAGGCGGGAAATCCAGACACTTCACTTCTACATTTCAACCTCCCGGAAGCATACCTGCCTTTCCAAATCAGTTCACGCCTTTTGTAGAATGACCTGAACAGGATAAAAGACAAGTGTTGTTTTCCATCCTTAATGTTGTCCCTAATATTTTGGGCTTTGTGAGCCAAAACAGCAACACATTTAACATCTATGCTTTAGAATGAATAATAAAACGTGATATTCATAGTAATGATTTTAGAACTGCCGAGCCAGAAGGGACCCCGTGGGTCATCAAGTCCAGCCCCATTGGGAATCGAACTCCCAGCCTTTGGCTCCATAGTCAGATGCCTAAACCACTATTCACTATATAGGTACCCAGTGTGGTGGATAGAGGGACAGACTCAAGAGGCCTGGGTTCGAATCCCTGCTCAGCCATGCAAACTCACTGGGAGTTTGGAAATGGTAAAAACCACTTCTTAAATATCTCACTTACCTTGAAAGCCCTATTAGGGTCACTACAATAGTTCTCATTTGTCAGAACATAACAATAAGAAAACTAACCCTGTATTGAACATAAAGGACAGTCGTAATGCTTATCATAATCAATTGCAAGCTAATATAAAGATTAAAAGCAAAATTATTGGGTCCAAAACCTCAGCGAGGTGAGACATTGTGACCACACAGCTCATTTTGTCTTGGCTTGCTTTTCCTTTTTTTTTTTTTTTTTTTAAATCTTTCAGAGGTGTGCAGATTCCTGAAACCTGGTAAAAACCCATCCTTGAAGATCTCCAGCCATTTCACAAACCTTCGGGCAAAATTGGGAATAAATGCACTCATCCGAAATGGATTATTTATTGCCTCTTTTTTTTGCCACACAAAAAATTTCGCGTGTCAAAACCTGCTGTTCGTGCCGACTTCATTTTAGTGAAACCAAGGCACTTCCCCGTTTCTTCCTTTGAAAGTCGCACATTTCGTGGTATCGAAATTTGTCACCATTTCCGAAACAAATCTTTGTGTGAAAAGTCTAAAGCAAATTGGTAAGGGGGGTGTTTTCAGGGAAGGGGCGGATATGGAAAAGATCCTCTTTTCAGGAAGATGGGCTTGCAAGAGCTGAAAGATAGCAAGAGTGGCAATTTTCCAGTGTTTGCTAACTTTGCTGGGCTAGTCCCTCCTGCACTGCCCTTTTGGGAGAAAATGCCTGGAAAGAAAGTAGGAAGTGACATGAACATTGCATGCAAGGGCTTGCCATATGGATGAAGGGCGCAGGCATTGGTATTTGAATGAAAGTATGTCATACGTAGAGATGAAGTTTGATGGTTCGCTTAGCTGGTATGTTTAGTGGCCGAACAAGTGTTCGGGGCTTTCAAAGTATGTCATACGTAGAGATGAGGTTTGATGGTTCGCGCTGGTTTGCTTAGTGGCCGAACAAGTGTTCGGGGCTTTCCAGCCCCACTTCCTTTGCTGTGCGCCCGCTCAGAGGTGGCATCCAGGGTTCCCTGCCCAACCTCCTCCAGGTGCCGCCTCTGAGTGGGTGCCCGTCAGAGACAGAGGGGCTGGGAAGCGCCAAACACCTGTTCGGCTGGAAAACAGACTAGCATGAACCGCCAAAATGGCTCTTCATATAACATGGCAGACATTAATCATTTAATACCCCCAAATTACCCATTTTTGAATCTGAAATAACATTTCTGTCTATTTCCTTCCTTCCTTCCTTCCTCCCTTCCTCCCTTCCTTCCTTCCTCCCTTCCCTTCCCTTCCCTTCCCTTACCTTACCTTCCCTTCCTTTGCCTTC